ACTTTGTACTTTACAGTTTAAACCAGTGTCTATCTATCAAGCTATCTATCCTATTCTTTTCGCCTTCTCTCTCTCTCTCGCTTTATCTTTATCAATCTATTTATATCTAATTTCTCACGAGTTGTGCTTTAAAATATCTAGAAGAGATATCAACAGAGACATCTATCTATCTATCTATCTATCTATCTATCTATCTATCTATCTATCTATATATATATATATATATATATATATATATAAAATTCATACGTATATATATATATATATATATATATATATATATTATACATATATATATATATATATATATATATATATACGTACATATATATATTTTTTTCTAGACTCGATGAAATACTTAATTATAATTATCTCAAATCCTCCTAATTTCTATTACTTGTATATCCTTGCCTGAACCGGCTTCTAATGCTCTGGATGGAGTAGCTTGGTGATAGTAGTCGTTGCTCATGGCGGCACAGTCGTCTGGGTAAAAGAGAAACTCGTATGAGTTCGACCACGGAAAATGTGATCGAGTCTGACTCGATAACTCTTCGTCACCCAGGCCCATTGGAACACTTGGTATGACGTTTGCCTGATTGCTTAACTGTCCGGTAGTGGATACGCACTGCTGAGGAGTCCCAAATATAGGACGAAACGGCCGTCCAGTGCTTTCTGCATTCTGTTGAGGTTTCTTCTAGAATCGATGAATTACTTAATTATAATTGTCTCAAATCCTCCTAATTTCTATCAGATACGTATATATATATATATATATATATATATATATATATATTCGTATATATATACACAACATTCATACGTATATATATATATATATATATATATATATACAACATTCATATATATATATATATATATATATATATATATATATATATATATATATATATATATATATATATATATATAGAATGTTGTACATGGACGCGTAGCCTAGTGGCAAGAACATTCGCTATGCGACAAGGGGGACCTGTTTCGAATCTCATCAGGGTCGATTTATCACTAAGATAACTTCTTGATGCTGTTAGCCTAGTATGGCTATCCCAGCGTGAGGCACGGCTGGAAGTGCCTGAACATTACGACCGGTTGACCTAAGCCTTGTGAGTGAAACTGGAAAGACGAAACAATTCCTAAGCATTCGGCAGTTCTGCTTGCAAGAAATCACTCGTCCTTGCCAACCTTCGAACAATGTAGGTTATGAACACTCTCGCAGAAACCTTAACTCGGGTCTGCCCAATTGAGTTGCAGTATAAATCAAAGGTGGGCGATGATGAACAAATGCAGGTCTTAGCAGTGAGATGTACTCTGCAACGAGTAGTCGGACATTATCTATCTATCTATCTATCTATCTTAGTATATTCCTCTCATACTTTCTTCATTTTTCTTACTCTCATTCACACCATCTCTCTCTCTCTCTCTCTCTCTCTATATATATATATATATATATATATATATATATATATTAGTATGTTTCTTTCTCTCACGTTATATATTTTATTATGTTAGTCTCTTTCTTCCATTCTTTCTTTTCTCACTTTAACTATATATCTATTATATTATGTTCCTACTTTTCTTTCTTTTTTTTTTCACATTATCTATCTATCTATCTATCTATCTATCTATCTATCTATCTATCTATCTATTTAAATATACTCTGCTATTTCCATCTTTCTTCTTCTCACGCCATCTATATCTCTCTCACTTTTCTAATAACAGCAAAATTTAATCTTCAGGGTAAATAACCAGTCAGAAAAAATGTTATGGTTCGGTACCTATCTATTTATTTTAGTATCTTTCTTTCTTTCTTTCTTTCTTTCTTTCACATTATCTATCTACCTTAGTATGTTCCTCTCTTTTTTCTTTCTTCCACTCATATTATCTATATTAGTATCTTTCCTTTCTTTTTTCTTTTTCTTTTTTCTTTCTTTCTTTCTTTTTTTTTTTTTTCTTTCTTTTCTTTCTTTCTTTCACTCGCATTAACTATCTATCTATGTATCTGTCTATTTTAGTATGTTCGTCTTTTTCTTTTTTCTTCCTTCGTCTCACACTATCTATATATCTATGTATTTTAGTACGTTCCTCACTTTCTTTAATTTCGTCTATTTAAATAATTTCTTCTTTTCTTTCTTTCTCTCATACTATCTCTCTATCTATCTATCTCTCTATATCTATGTATCTCTCTCTCTCTATCTCTCAATCTATCTATCTCTCTCTCTATATATATATATTTATATGTATAAATATGTATATGTATATATATATATATATTAGTATGTCCTCTGTTTCTTTCTATTTTCTTTCTTTCTTTCTACTTCTCACACTATCTAATGTCTATCTGTTTTCTTTTGACTGCAAAATATATCCTACAGAGAATCAGTCAAAAATGTTATTTTTTCGAGTCTATAAATTTATTTTTGTATGTTCTTATTTTTCTTTCTTTTTTTCTGTCTCTCACACTATCTATCTATCTATTTATCTATCTATTTTCTTTTAACTGCAAAATATGCGCTTCAGTGAATCTAATCCGTCAGTTTGGTAACTATCTATTTTAGTATATTATTTTCTTCTTTCTTTCTCGCTTTACTTCTTTCTGCCGCATTATCTATCTATCTATCTATCTATCTATCTATCTATCTTAGGTTGCTTTTCTCTCATTCTGATGAAGAAAAAAAGAATTGAACGCCTCTATTTTGCTTGTGCAGTTTCCCCGTGTTAATGTCTCAGTTATATAACGGATATTTAATTTCCTTTTGCCTTCTTATCTTCATATTTTTCAGACCAGATTTGCCACAGTCCCGGCAAGACATACAGAAAGTCGTCTTTATTCTAGAACAAATTTTAGATGATATAGAATAAAGAGGCTGACATTAATATAAAGTAAATTTATATCGCTTTAAAAGTTATTTTCTCTAAGTACTCACTATTTAAAGAAGTGGTTCTTGATCTTTTCTTCCGCAGTAGCCTATTTCCGATATCTTAGATTTATGCTCTCTTCACTCTTGGAAAAGTGTAATGATGAATAAACACTGTTAATGTCACGTGTTTGTCACTGGAATTTGATGACGGGCGAACAGAAACGAGGCTCAGCCGAAGAAAAGTGCCGAAAAGTAGCTTGTGGGGTTTGCTCTATATATATATATATATATATATATATATATATATATATATATATATATATATATATATATATATTTCAGTGTCATGCGTGATACACGCTTAAACGATCGTGTATCTTTAGATACATGACAGACGAGGCAGTTTTTTCCCGCAGTAGGTTGCCATTTCTTTCTGCGGTAGTCCAGTTTCTATCAAGGCTATAGAAACCGGTCTGTTCTGCTATTTACCCATAGCCAAGGGGAGAAGAGGATTCATACCTTTCCAAAGGCTTTTAGAACGTAGGTGAATGTAATGGATTTGACTGGAATTCGAACTCGGCTCTCCGAGCCGCTATATGTCAAATATGTTTAAAATATTAATCTATAGTGAAACAAGATAAAGATATGCGCATGAATAAAATGTGAGGTGTCCTCAACAGGAAATGAAGAAATAAATTTTTTAGAAGTCCTGCAAAGATTTATTATTGGTGGATATAATATGAACAAAATATGAGGATGAGTATACTGTATTTATGAACAGTCTTGGGCAAAAGAACGAAAGAACAAAAACATATTTCCAAAGGTGTAAGTGATAAACAGTTGTGGTGAGCTATGATAGTACACGTCAAAAAAGGATTACAAACATAGAACAAAGAAACTGTCCTGTTCAGTTTATAGTACAACTTCTATAACCCCGCCCTGGAACAGCGCCTTGAGAGTCAATAGATACCACAAAGAAGAGTTGCTGCCCTCGTTAAATATCCTTCATTTAGAGCTAGTCATTTCCAAAATTTCTATCCAATCATATCATCTGATTCTGAATAATGATGATCCGGTTGGAACACGAGAATCAAGCAGACTTGGAAGTTTAAATGTCTCGGAAGGGTCTTGACAGAGGACGGTAAATGCGACACTGAAATCCGTAGACGTATTGAAATGGCCAAGGACGCATTCCAAAAACTGGGCAGAGTATTGCGAGAGAGGAGGATTTCTTTGGTAACAAAGAAAAGAATACTGAGCTGTTACGTGATATCTGTCCTTCTTTACAGCAGCGAATGTTGGACGATTTCCTCAAAGATGAAAAAGAGACTCGAAGCAACAGAGATGTGGTTCTACAGAAGGATGATACCATGGATCGAACTTGTGAGCAAAGATGAAGGTCTTAGAGAGAATGCAAACAAAGAGGAGGCTTATACTTTATATCAGGAAGAGGCAGCTGAAGTTTCTGGGTCACATAAGGGGAATGAGAGCCTGGAGAATCTGATACTCACGGATCGTATAGTGGAAAAGAGACAAGGGAAAACAACTCTTAACATACCTGGCGGGCTTAAGCAAGTGGATGACAGAACGTGATCTGGAAGAGGATGAAAATGGAAGGAACTTGTTGAGAGCTGCAAGGGATAGAGAAATGTGGAGAGCCATGATCGCCTACGTCCTGAAAGGACATGGCGTAAAAAAAATGAAAATTAAAATGGTTGTCTTTCAGTTCGTCTTTTAGTTTCGTGAAAAACCAAGTCAGAAGTTTAAATTGGAAATATAATGGAGAATGCTAATCAAGAGTGAATTACATGTTACTCCCAAATTTTGCTGTTTGTTGACTTCAACGAAGCTATGTTTCGTCGGTATGAATATCTTTGCACGTTGGATACATTGCAATTTGAACACGTTGAGTGTATGAAAGATTTTACAACACTGCAAAAGCATTATCCTTCTATGTGGCAGACTATCCGTGTAAATGGTCGCTTATTTATACAAACTTCATAATTACTACTTTTCAGTAACGAATGCTTTCATTTATTGACATTAAACCAAGAACTGACACATTTGATACGCCATGTCGCTTTAGAACGAGAGTTGATAATGACTGTCAACATCCTTATCTCTTATGGCCATATCACATTAAAACACAGGTTCCCGTCCGATCACCGAATTTAAGCAACGTCGAGCCTGGTTAATACCTAGACGGGTGACCGTTTGGGAATACCAGGTGCTGTAAGCTTGGTTTTCGGTTGGAGTAATAGATAATGGCTTGGAATTGTTAATCGGAATACCGAGTTTCAATTCCAGTTGGCTTCGTTATATTCACTTACGCATAAATACGCTTGGGAAAGGTGTGGCTCTATCTGTCTCCCCTAGCTATGGGTTAATTAGTATGACGTGTGTCATTAAGAATTATTATATCCAAAAATAAAATTGTGTACAAAATATTTAGATATCGGCATTAAATAACCCAGTGGTGTTAATATGCCGCTGAATCAAAAGAACCAAAGATTTTTCTTTATTATTCCTGAATTACCATGTATCTTGGGAAAGTTCGTGGAGAGTTTCATGTTACCTTTTCCAAAGTTCTGAAGTCAGATTTGCTCTCCTCCTGAACAAAAATTGTCCTCCCATAATTTTCTGTTTCTTCTTACACTGTGTCTTTTTGGAACTGGTCCTTGCAACATGTAATTTACAAGGCTGACGAATAGGAGAAATATTCCTACCAAATTAACTTCCTTTTTATTATCATTTTTTGTTAATCAGCATCAAGATTATCATCATTCCTAAGTGAGTGTGTGATCAAATTGTTGCTGCTAATCTGAGGACCTAACAAGATACCTTTGCAAGAGAGGTATAAAGGATGAAACAATGAAGCCGTTTCATTTGTCATCTTCGATCGACATGAATGTTCTCCGATTATTATTATGTATTCAGATGACACCATTGTTTATTGACGCACTTTCAAAAACCAAGATGATCAGAGCCTTGCAGTTGATCTCGCTCTAAACGCTCTATGAGGAAAAAAAATGTTTGTTTGAATCTTTAATTAGACGAATTTTACTCTAAAATCCTGAAATAGCCTAAACAATTTTTGATTGACTGACATCATCTTTCCTTACTCGCTTGCTACTAATGTTCATTTTTCTGCATTTTCATAGCGGGAGCCGCGCAGTTCAAACATATACTTAAATCATGTGACCAGATTACGTGTTTTCATTCATTCGACACAACACAAAGACCGTGTGCAGTTAAGCCACAATGAAGAATGCCAGAATTATAATATTGTGGCTTAACCAATAAAAAGAATAAACCCGTTCACAAAAATAGTTGATAAACTTGCTTTGAGAGGAAATATAATAAATTGCATTGTGAAAAGAGGCGTCATTTCTTATTCCATTCTCAACCATTCATATAAATATTTAGGTTTTAATAGGTATGCCTAATATACATTATTTGGACTATTGTCCTCATCTTTGTCGCCAAATTTATCACAACGTTTCGGCCGTTTGTACGCTCCGGCCTTCTTGGAATTTCGAACTGAACCCTTTATGTCGCTCATTTAGTTCTACGTGCCGTGTTTCCCTCTGAAAGTTCTTCACTGCCTTAACCGGGTATTGAACTCACATTCTTTGGGTCCAGTCACGGGGTCTACCCAACGCCTTTATCCACTGTGCCATGTGTCATTGAGGATATCTGGGTATGAATTTCTCGGTATTATAAATGTCCTCAGCAATCATTTTTACCAGTGCTCATATTGCAATTGTTATCATTGCATGTTTTTTTAACAGAGCTCATATTGCAACTTTGTTGTTACCTCTGGCACTCCTTATTACTGGTTCCCATATTAGCAGGAGATAACTGATAACTGACATCCATCAAACATGGCACGTCGAACTAGAACAGTCTACCCCAGTGAGCGAAATAAAGGGTTCAGTTCGAAATTCCAACCACCTGAAGAAGGCCGGAGCGTACAACGGCCGAAACGTTGATAAATATGTCGACAAAGATGAGGGCAATAATCCGAATAATGTAAATAATGTACATAATACCTCATCTCAGAAATATAGACAGACTAATATCTTCATAATATGACCATATTAACAGAGGTTTTTATGTTATGAATGACCATTTGTTCGACTTGCTTTATTTGCCAGACAGTGGCATTTAATATTTGATATTAACGAGCGAGTTTTATCGATTTAAATAAAAACCGTTTGCAAATTTGGACGATAGTTGTCAATCATCCAAGTACGATGTAAACGATGGCATTATGTATTCATTGATTTTGCACCTTATCATTATAGTTTCCGAAAATCTGTCACTAGGGACCAAAATAAATATATTTAGACTGATGCATTTATTCGGAAATCAGCCAAACTTATATTGAGGAATAAAGGCGATTTCCTTCTAAAGCTGTCGTCGGCAAAACGTTAAATCAAGTTATTACAGACGAAGAAGCCAATCACTTGTATAGAAGCAAGAGTGAGTTCTCTTTATTTGTGGAATATTTTTACATAGGCCTGCATTTATCGAGAACTGTCTTGATCGAAAAAATAGCTTATTCAAGTATGATATCACACATACGTTTTAAGTTTTGCATTAAATTTGTCTGATAAAATGTCGAAGTGATTTCTATGACTGCGTTATTTTATTTGTTTTTTTTATTAATAATATAGATATTTTGTAATTATCTAATTTTTACTCGGTCTGGATTTGACCTAAATTTTTGATTTTGCATTTGTTGCCAATTTACTGGGTCGTCCGTATTCGACAGCGACAAAACAGACTGGATATTATAATGTAACTAGTTAAATTACTAGTGAGACATAAACTAAGAGATAGAAGTCTAGTTAAAAGTTTCTTGTAGCTTAGATAATGAGAGCAGATGGTAACTAAGTATCTTCCAGGTAAAGAAGTATCAGCAATCTTGGCATCTTTGCTTTAGACAATTTCCTATAGCAAAAACGTAGCTTCACTTTCCCTCATCTATAGATTAATTCACAGTAATAATTCTAAGGGGGCATCATTGTTTGTACCCCGACTTCAAGAAATTAAGCCTAATACTAGATTGGCAGATAGGTCTCATAATATCACAGTTGAAGCTGCTAGTTGCAACCATAATAATAGTTTCTTCTCACGGACTTCTAGTTTGTGGTACTCTCTTCTGGTTTCGTTTTCCTATGAACAGTTTTCAGAGTTTGAAATTCAACTTAAATTGTCTCCCCCTGCTTCTGTGAATAATGTTTTTTTACTATCTTCTTTCTTTCTTTCGCTCTCAGCAACTCTTTGCACTCTAGTGGCTTTTATTGCCTGGCTTGGCTGTGAAGTGATTAGGAAAAAGAAAAGTCAACATCATTTTGACCATCACCGAGAATTTGATCTCTGTTTATGATCATAGAAAGAAAATAAGAACCAAGCGATCTCTAACAAAGGCAAATAACATAATGGAAGTAAATCAAAGTACCCAGGACGGTACCATCTTGTAATTTAACAACATAAAGAAAACTATATACGTTGTGTAAAGAAGTAGATGAAATATGATTCCCCATCAGTAATTTCTGACAGTGGCGTTGTCATTGTCAATGTCGTTGTCTGCCAGTGGCGTTGTCAATGGCATTTCTATGTCAATGTCGATAGTCTTAAACTTTGGCTTCTTCCTGGAAGCAGCCAATCAGTCCTAAACATGCGAGAAGGTTTTTCCGTTCGTATTATAGGTATTAAATTTAGAACTCCTTTCAAAAGTGATGATGGTATCAAAATAAAATGTATATTTATAGAATCATTCATTAACAGCAGAATTAGAACAAAGCATTAGAAATAAGATGCTACATAAATTTCCGATGCATTTCCGTTGTAGACAATATCACCGATTTCATAGTGCGAGTAACCAAGATATATGATTCAAGCCTGTTGGAAGACCTCTCATCTACCGGCAAGGAAAGAAAGAAATGATGTGAGCACGTCGTAAGAACAAACATTCTTTCCATTTTCAACCTGCAAGGTTTGACCGAAGCAGAAGAAGAAGCGAAAGACTGAGGAATAGTGGGCTGACAACGTCACGGAATGAACTGGAATATCCTTCGCAGAGACTCAGGCTTTGCCACTCATCTAAGGCATATGAAATGAGTACTTCAGATACTATGGCCACAGAGGGTAATGCGACATATTTTGATGATAATCATGTACATGTACAACAGATTATGAGTAGCAAGGTTCTACAGGGTGTCCATAAAGGTCGTGTGCACTTAAAAAAATTATAACTTTATTTCTATCTACGACAGAAATAGTCTGTAAAAATGTTATAAAGTTTAATGTACCTAGTTTTAAGTATAGCTTAAATAACTAATGTCATTTCAGGCATTACTTTAAATCAGTTGGCAAATGTTTTCCGTGAACTGCAAAATCGTATTACCCTTTGTATTGCTAATGATGGAGGACATGTGGAAACTTAAATAAAATTTCAATAACACCTTAAAAAATATAGATTTACTTCTTTCTAATCCTTTTTACAAATTATTTCTATTGCAAATACAAATGAAATTATATTTTTAAAGTGCACACGAACGTTATGGGCACCCTGTATATAGGCTTGTCATTTTAAGGGCTACACTTGAAAACGGTACACTGTAGAGAAAACACAGCTGAACTATAATAGTCCCATTCATCTCTCTATGCACGACATCAATCGTTTACATTAACAGTAGTAAGTTACTGAGATTATAGCTGCATGTGTATGTGCCTTTCCAGTGGTATTAGAAGAGCTTTATCTGTTGGAATGAATAGTGCTTTATAATATCAATAATTAAAGCAGTTTTGACGTCTTTGACATACAAGACATAACATTGAAAAGCGACATTTTTCTAAATCTATTCGCGTATGATACAGCTTCAACCTATAGCATCATATTGTGAGATGAGTTAAAAAAATTACCCTCATTTTGATGGTGGTAGAAGAAACATTGTACAAGGTCATATACCTCTCCAAAACAATGTTCAACTCATTCGGCTGCAATTCTTGCCCACATACCTCACGCACTTAGTGCTTTGGAAAATGTTCGATAGAATTCCAGTCTGAATCAGGTGAAATATCGCTTACTAAGCAGGAATTGGTCAATATTTGACGACGCCTGATTTTTCACTTGTTATAGTGTGTAAAGTGATGCAGTGGGTGTGGCATCAGCATGGCGTCTCCATATGTACGATTTATGTATGCGAAAATAAAGATCCAAGGAAAA